TGGTCAATGACATGAGACAAAGTATATGTGAACTGCTGTATGGAAAGTGAATTTGCTCTGTAAATCTTCACCCAAATCACAATTTAAAAAAAAAAAAAAATTTTGAGGTATAAATAATGGTTCATAATAACAAATGGATGCTGTTTTGTTTAATCAAAATACTTATTATTATCGTATCATTATGCTAGATGTTTTAGTGTATCTGGAAGTGTTTTTTCTTTTTAAATGTTTTTTATATATAGAAAGATATACTACATACTATGGTAAATATTTGACTAACTTATGTACAAATTTGACTTAAACACAAACTTAGGAATGGAAGTTGTTTGTGATATGGGACTGCCTTATACAATACGGTGTTCACACATCCCAATCACATAATGTCTCATTTCACAGACTGTACTGTGGATGACAGCGACTTTATGACAGTATTTTCTTAGAGTATTAAAAAATGCAGATTAAATAATAATCAATCTGTCACGGTTTTGGCTTTTAGAAGGAGCTGCATGCTTCTTCTATTTATTAAAAACTTATGAAATGCAATTAACCACGCAAGTTGACTAAATCCTTTGATAAACACAAACTCTGAAAAAAATTCTACTGCGGATCATTTAAAAGGTGCATTAAGGATTTGGGCTTGCTGGCGAAGGGTCACACATGAGTTTGCACCTCAAGGAGTGTTAGGAAAAGGGGACGAATCAACTGCCAATTAAGAGTATTCTGTGAATGAACTTACCAGAAACTGGCCTCATGATGTCCATTGGTTCCACTTCTTCTTTAACTTTTATCTCAGGAACAGCAGGGCCCAAAACTGCAGAGAGACTGCCACCCACAGATGCTGATGATGGTGGGGCAGCTGCAATAGTAGTGATGGGAGGACTGATGTGGACTGTTCCAGGAATGGTTGACAGAGTGACCGCTGGTTGTGATGGGGGACTAGCTGCTGCAATCATGGTTGGAATGGTTGGTGTAGGCTGTTGTACAGTGGGAGGGACTGCAATGGTGGGCTGGTCATTATTTTGATTAGACACTGTCTCCATGGACACAGTGACTGGAGTGGTCATAGATACGTGGATTTCTGACTTAGGTTTGGCACTGAAAAACAAAACAAAACAAAAAAACATGTAGCAAAAGATAGAAGACCTGCAACATCTCAGAGGATGGGTACTGGTAGTTATTTTTGTATAGCACAAAGCACATCTGATACTATTGTTTGATTCTAAAAGTTGAAATTTGGGAAGGCAAAATGGAGGTGGCTGCAGTACCCTGGTGCTAAGAGGAGAGCCATATTTTTGTGACCCCCATAATAGGCTGGCTTATGGCAGCCCCAACACCTCTCCTCCTACTGCCCCACCAAGGATACTTGGTTTCATGGCCACCATCCAGGAGCCCCACTTCCCATGCAAGGTTAGACTGTGAAGAATTTTAATATTCCTGGGTACTTCCTTGATGAATCATTTCTACTTTTGCTCAAGAGAAAGCTTTGAATGTACCAAGTAACTCTTAAAGAAACCCTTTGTGTAGGTAATATATATACATGCTTTCATGAAGAGTATATAGAAAAATGAGGCCGAAGACCTTTCCTGCCAGTGGACATACTGACAGAAGCTGGCAAAAATTGCCAGTTGCAAGAAATTCAGGAATCCCTTAGGAATTTATCCCAGACATCTGATGCTGCTAAGGAAGCATAACGTGAGTAAGATGTCAGCAGAAGAACCTCGACAAGTCAGAAATCCACCTAAATTTGTCACATATCATAAAGCCTTGCAAGAAATTAAAAACTCTTACTACCGTTTACAAATCAAATGAGCTATTTTCCTGGAGTGCTTCAGAAGTTAATGTGGAAATGTTCCAAGATTTGCAAGCTGCTGGATTTGATGAGAATACTAACCTAGTCTAATCATTAACAAAACACCACACAAATCTCAACTGAGAGATATTCTACAAAACACTCAAAACAATCAGAAACAAGGAAAGTCTGAGAAACTGTTACAGCCAAGAGAAGCCTAAGGAGACATGACAATTAATATAATATGACATCTTGGATAGGATGCTGGATCAGAAAAAGGACACTAGATAAAAACCAAGGAAATATGAATAAAATATGGAATTTGGTTAATTTTTTTGATGCATTTTATTGAAATATAATTTATGTACAGTGAAATACACAAAACTAAAGTGACACGGGTCAATTGCTTTTTTTTTTTGGCAGTGTTCCCTCCCCTCCGCTCCCACCCCTGGCAACCAACAAAGAAAGTTTCCCTCCATATATAAACCTTTCCTTGATCCTCCACAACAACGAACTAATACTATATTTGTCCTTCTGTGATTGACTTACTTCACTCAGCATCATGTCCTCCAAGTTTATCCATATTATGCGATGTTTTGCAGACTCTACATTATTCTTTAGTGCTGCATAGCATTCCAGCATGTGTATGTACCATAGTTCAGTCATCTACTCTTTGGCTGATGCGCACATAGGTTGTTTCCATCTTTTTGCTATTGTAAATAGTGCTGTGATGAACATGAGCATGCATGTATCTGTTCCTTTCCTAGCTCTCACCTCTCTAGGATATATACCTTGTAATGGGATTGCTGGGTCAAATGGCATCTCCAATTACAACTTTCTAAGGAATTGCCATATTGCTTTCCACAGTGGTTGTGTCACTTCACAGTCACACAAGCAGTGTATGAGAGTACCAATCACTCAACATCCCCACCAGCACTTGTTATTTTCTGTCTCATTGAACCTTGCCATCAGTGCTGGAGTGAGACGGTATATCTCACTGTTGTTTTAATTTACATCTCTCTGAGGGCCAATAATTGTGAGCATCTTTTCATGTATTAGCTGACCACCTGAATGTCCTCCTTGGTGAAGTGTCTATTCATGTCTTCTGCCCATTTTTCAACTGGATTGTTAATTCTTTTAGTGTTGAGGCGCTGGAGTTTTCCATCAATCTTAGAGATAAATCCCTTGCCAGATATATAATTATCGGCACATATGAATTTGTTGGTGTCATTTTTGTTATGTGCTTTTTTGTGGTGTCAATTTCTTTGTTCCATATAATTTTCTATGTTGAGCTCGTTTTGTTTATGTATCATGTTATCACCTCCTTCATCGCTATTGTTTTAATATTTGCTGAATATTTATGCTAGTCCTCTTTTTTGATGTGAAGGTTTATCATTTTTCTTTGAGGTTACCCCGTGATTTATAGTTTTCTTCCCAAGTGTAGAACAGTCCGTTCTATCTTGTAGTTGTCTTGACTTCCCTACCATCTAGAAGTTCTGTAACGACACAGATTTTTTCCCCCTCTTTTTGGTTTGTAGTTGTCCTCATTTGTCGGCTGGTGTCTCTGGTTCCCTGTTTACAATCTTGTAGGCTTGTTTACTTTGGATACTTCCATAGCTGGGTTGGTTTCTGGGTTATATTACCATGTGTATTAATGGTCAGTTGTTGTCGGCTGTTGTTGCTTCTCTGTCCAAAGAGCTCCCTTTAACATCTCTTGTAAGGTTGGTCTGGTTTTAACAAATCCCCTTACTTTCTGCTTATCTGGAAATCTCCTAATTTCACCATCATATCTGAGGGACAATTTTGCTGGGTGCATAATTCTTGATTGGGAATTTTTCTCTTTCAGTGTTTTATATATACCATCCCACTGTCTTTTTGCCTGCATGGTTTCTGTCAAGAAATCTGAGCTTAGTCTTACTGTTTGCCGCTTGTAGGCAACTTTTCGTTTTTCCTGTGCTGCTCTCATGATTCTCTGTCTTTGGTTTTGGTGAGTTTGATGATGATATGTCTTGGTGTTTTTCTTTTGGGGTCTATCCTGTTTGGGGTTCATTGGACTTCCTGAATGGATATATTCTCATCTTTCATCATATTAGGGAAGTTCTCCAACAAACCTTGGACAACTTTCTCAGTGGTTTCATTTTTGTCCTCCTGTTCTGGAATTCCAATGACACGTAAGTTATTCCTTTTGAAGGTATCCCACAAGAACCTTAGGCTGTCTTCATTTTGATCTTTTTTCTGATTGATCCCTTTCCAAAGAAGTATTCAGGTATTTGCCTTCAATCTCATTAATTCTGTCTTCCATTGCATCAATTCTACTCCTTCAATGTGTTACCTATTTCTGACGATTTAGTATTAATCTTCTGGATTTCCATCTGTAGATTTTGTATTATTTCTAATTTTTCATTTATTTTGTCATTTTATTCTTGTACTTTCTTCCAAAATGTTTCTAACATTTTGTCTGTGTTTTCCGTGGTCTGTCTCTCAATCCTTCGAAGATACCTAAATATAATTCTTTTGAGTTCCTTATCAGGGAGCTCCAATGATGCATCTTCCTCAGGGATGTGTTTTGGCTCTGTATCCTGGTCCCTTGTTTCTCCCGCTTTATCTTGCTGCTTTGTGTGGACTGTGATGCTCTGTTGTCTCCAAGGCATTGTGATGTTTTTGTGTTTATATTTAAATTGGTGATTATATGTTGGAGTGACTTGCCCACAATTTTTGTTTTCTTTGTATGCTATTTATACAGGCAGGGTACTTGATGTGCTCCTCTATTTACTAGTTGACAACACTTATACGCTCACCACCTATCTCCTTTCCTTTGTCAGCTTCTTGTATGTCCTTGCCGACTCTGGCAAACAGAGCCTGTTTGTAGGTCCCTGGAATCCGAATGAGAATGCTATCACTTTAAAATCCAAAATAGCTGCCAGTTGTAAACATTCAAAATAGCTGTGCCCTCTGTCACTTTAAATATCCAAAATGGCCACTGCTTGTAAACATTCAAAATGGCTGCGCCCTCGGTCACTTTAAGTATCCAAAATGGCTGCCACATGTAAACAATCAAAATAGCTGTGCCCTCCAGAAAGCAGAAAGTCCACAGCTCAGGTTGTCTCCCTCTTTCCTGTTGCCCTTTCTAGTCACAGGCCACTAGAGCAGTTGTCCCTGCAGCCCTTGGTGACTGGGACTGATCTTTGTGTCAATTCTCAGGACCCAACACCACTTGGAAATATTTAGGCTATTGGTCTTGTCAGAGTAGGTGACAGTCTACAGCTCTGTTTCTGTACTCAGTGTTTTCGTTCAGGTTTTTCCACTAGTTGGTTCTTAATCCACTTCTGTATAGTTCCTTTCAAAGCTCAGGGTTCCAGGATTATCTTCTGTATCTCTGTCAATTGGTTTTTCTTTTTTTTTGTTGAAGAGGGTCTGTGTTGCTTGTCTGCCTACTCCTCCATCTTACTGGATGTCAGAATTTAATTAAAATGTGTCAGTACTGTTTCATTAATTGAAAGAAGTGTGCCATACTCACATAACATATTAGTAACAGGGAAACTGGGTATGGAGTATATGGGATATATCTTCATAGTTTTTCTGAAAGTTTGAAACTTTTCTAAAATAAAGCCTTTCTTTTTTTTTTAAAGTTGAAATTTAAGGTAATCCTTTAAGAGAAATTGAAAGGAAAGTTCAAGGTTTAAAAATTTTCCCTACTTGCCCTTCATATAACTAAAAATAAAACCAGAAATAAATATAAACATAAAAATATAAGTATAAATAAAATTGACCGAGAAAACAAACAAACAAAAATATTATGAGAAAACACTCAATGCTTCCCCATCAAAGGATAGCCACGTTCGTTAGTGTACTTCTGCCCTAGAATTTCTTAGTGTACAGACTTCCATCAGAGTTCCCCCCCTTTTTTTTAAACCAACTTCCTATGTAGTTTTCTGTAAGTCAGTTTCTTACCAGTGATGAGATACAACTCAAAATGAGATGAAACAGCTACAAACGTAATTAATAATTGGAACGTGGAATGTACAAAGTATGACTGTAGGAAAATTGGGAAGTTGTCAAAATTGAAATGGAACACAAAAATATCAATATCCTAGGCATTAGTGAGCTGAAATGGACTGTTTTTGACCATTCAGAATCAGACAAACATATGATCTACTATTCTGGTAATGCTAAATCGAAGAGGAATGACATGGCATTCATCATCACAAACAATGTTTTAAGATCTATTCTGAAGTGCTGTTAGTGATAGGATAATATCCATATGCCTACAAGGAAGACCAGTTAATACCACTATTACTCAAATTTA